TAGTTAGTCTGTGCAGTAGTGATGATCTCGAATTACTTCTATGACGAATTGATTGAACTCCATGTGGTAGAACTAGGACAAGCCACGTGATCAAATAAAAATGTGACACGTGGATGAATCAGTGCACGAGACATGAATTGGCCAGGGCATGACACGTGGGCTATTAAAAATCCGACACGCAGAAGGAAATTGTCAAGTCACGTGGACGTATAAAAATACGACACGTGGATGGACAACATAGTGATGTGTGGTCAAATAAGAAACAGACACGTGGACCAATAAAAATATGACACGTGGTCCAATGAAGAAGTGACACGTGATCTAATGGCAACACGACATGTGTGCTAGTAGAAAATTGATATGTGGAACAATAGGGAAACGATATGTGGTCTAATAAAAATCTGAAACTTGCAAGAACCAGATATGGCCACATTGTGCAATAAAAAGGTGACACGTAACCGAACCATTTCTAATGCAACCGGCTATAGCATGTACACATGGGCTATAGCATGTACACGTGGAAAGCATCTCCAACGGAAGCGCCCACCAGCGTGGCAGTCCCTGCCACGTATGCCAAAATAGTTCTATGACGATCTATTTTTCGTCATAGATCTATCAATTGTATGACAATTTTGTCAGATTCGTCATAGATATGCAAGAGTGACGCGACTTCTATGATGAACCGGTTTTCACAATAAATTCATCATAAAACTAAAATTATGACGAATTTAGCTCCTTTAGTGATGAAATCTATTCGTCATAGAAGTGGATATTTCTAGTACCCTCAAGTACTCAGGGTTTGTTAACCTCGTTGTAGGATCTGACTTGAGCTGCTGATCAAGGTCATGTCGGTGGGCTCGACATGATCTGGTTGTCTCTCCTACCTTGGATGTTTTACCTAAGTTGCTTCCGCAGTTCTACTCACCATTTGAACTCAAGTTAAGTTATGACTTGAACATGTTATGTAACTATTGTTATAAGTCTTCCGCACTCTGATATAAGATATTTTTACCAAATATTGTAATATTGTATTTTTTTCCCGAGGACACCCGACAGACTACCAAATTATCTGGCTCTCGTGTGCAGCAGTCCGAGGTATTTAAGATAATGACAGATACATGTGGGCCTATAATTTGGGTGGTTCTGCCACAGTCCGTGGGGCATCCTCGCGCTGAATATTTTTTCCCGTGCTTGCAGCTTCTAGCCCACGCTCATCCACCCCACGCCGGCCAAGGCTGCAACACGCGGGAGAATCTGAGTGAGGCCTTGTTTAGATCCCATCAAAATTCTAAGTTTTTTCACTCTCTCCATCACATCAATTTTTGGACACATGCATGAAGCATTAAATGTAGGTAAAAAAATAATTAATTGCACAGTTTAGTTGTAAATCACGAGACGAATCTTTTGAGCCTAGTTAGTCCATAATCGGACAAAGCTTGTCAAATACAAACAAAACGTGCTACAATGTCCGGATTGCAAAAATTTGCAATCTAAACAAGGCCTGATTTGTGCGCATCGAGTGGGGAACAGAGTAAAGCATAGATTATTTTTTAATCTCATTGATTTGCGTGCGATGCAAACTAAAAAAGTTATAACTGCTAAACCTAGTATCCAAATTAAATTCCGATTGCACTATTGTGTTTTTTATAATAAATGCTTTAAAACAAGACCCCACATAAATATATTTAGATAAAGTTTTATTAACGAACACTAATTTCATAAAGATAGAATATTTTCTTTTATTGTTGAACAAAGGTGATGTTCTAGATTCAAAAAACAATGTTACGCCTTCAAAAAAAATATTCCTGATTTAGAAAAATAGTATTCCAGATCTAAGAAAAAAGTTATAGATTTAAGTGATTGATACTATAATATCCGTAAAAATAAAAAAAACAACAACAAAAATATGAAATATATAGAATTATATAATAAATAACATTACACAAATATAAAAAATAATAAAAGATAGAACAAAACATAAAGGAAAACAAAAATAAAAAACCATGTAAAATATAAATTTAAAATAACATCACATAGATACTATTTGAACAACATGAAAATATATTATAGAATATGTCTCGTGTACTGTGTGAATACTCAAAGATAATCATACAATATCCCATTCATACTATATGAACATCCTAAAAATACATCGTGGGACGTCACGTTTATACTACATGAACATCATGTGTATACCATATACAACAAAATATAGTAAAAATAAAAAAGTAAACTTGAAAATAAAAGAATTGAAATAGAATAAAAAAATCATAGAACATCACATTTATATCATGTGAACATCACAAAAAACATAATAGAACATCACATTTATATATGAACACACATAATACATCATGAAACATTATTGTATACTACGTGAACATCACATGTATATTACGCGAACATCACAAAATACATCATACAACATCATGTATAACACATGAACATCACAAAAAAACATCATAGAATATGGCATTATATACCATGTGAACATCGCAAAAAATGTCATAGAACATCACACCTATACTCTGTGAACAACATCTCATGGAGTATAGAAAATAAAAAATGAAAAAATAATTAAGTAAGGTAAAATAGAAAATGAAAAAAATCTATAGAGAACATAAATACAAAAGATAAAAGGGAAAAAAATAAAGAAATACAAAAAATAAAATATAAAAAATAAAATAAATAAAATAATTAATTATAGTAAAAATAAATAAGAAGAAAAGGAAGAAAAAAAATAACTAAAAGAAACATAAAAATGAAGAATGAAAAGAATAATAAAAACACATAAAACAAAAAAGAAATATAAATAAAAATAAAGCACGAAAAGAAAAAAGAAAAAAAGAAAAAAAGAAAAGAAAAAAGAAAAAGAAAAAATGAGAAGAATAAGGAAAAAAAATAAAAGGGAAACTAATGTACCTAGACGCTGATTCCCGCGTGCTGCGGTTTTCCCGCGCGTCTATTCGGCAGGAGGATCGGGTCCGGCCGTTCAGACCCGATGGATACCGATGTATACCAACTACATAATATTCTACTAGAAATAATAACGATGCTCTACTTCTACATACATACTACCTTCGGTCAGCGAATTTTGATGTTTCAGACAAGCATAACAATCAAAATAAACTGCTTCCCACAGGTCTGAAACGTCTGTTTTATTAACCAGAGGTAGCACAATAGATTTTTTTACCACTAAGCTATCATCTAAATCCTTAGCCATCAAACTCCAAAACCGGATACATTAAACATCGAATTAATAAAACTGAACCCTCAACTGGTTCCAAAGGTTTCACCTACTTATATATTTTCTAAAAATAATAAAAATATGAATAAATCTCTAAAAATCAGTAACATAATTCATTTTAAATATAAATATATGAAACAAGTACCAAAATTATTTTAAAATAGAACCTATTTATTTTTGCCCTATTTAGAGTTAGATGTGGATTGTTCTTTATTGCTAGTGTTTTATCGCTCGTAGTCACAACATGCCACGTCCGTGCCTCGCATTTGTGTTGGATGGTATTAAGATGCGATAGTGATAGTATCACTATAGGTTGTAGTAACTGATAGTGATAATGGATTGTCACCTTTGGTTTTCAATTTTCAATTTTCATAGTTGAAGACGCTCAATGGAGAGAAAGATTGTGAAAGGACAAGTAAAACAAAGGTTTCAGAAGGCAACCAGAGTACTAGGGCCTTGTTTAGATTGCAAATTTTTATAACCTGAACACTGTAGCACATTTCATTTGTATTTGATAAACTTTATCCGATCATGGACTAACTAGGCTCAAAAGATCCATCTCGTAATTTACAACCAAACTATGTAATTAGTTATTTTTTTTTACCTACATTTAATGCTCCATGCATATATCCAAAAATTAATGTGATGGAGAGATAGTGAAAAAACTTGGAATTTGAAGGTGATGTAAACAAGGCCTAGGCGCGGGCCGAGTCGGCAGCTGGCATACATGACCAGAGGAAGCAGGAAGGTATATTTTGCGAATTGACTTTGCCTCTGAATGCAAGTCGTCGACGCGGCACATGGTGCCATCTGCCGTGCCAGCTAGCTAGCCGCCACTTTTTACTCGTACCATGGCGTTAGTCTAATTAATTAGATTTAAAAGATTCGTCTCGTAGATTTTATCTAAACTGTGTAATTAATTTTATTTTTTATTTATATTTAATGCTTCGTGCATGTGTCCAAAGATTTGATGTGATGGAGAATCTTGAAAAATTTTACAAAATAAAGTGAAACTAAACACTACCCATAATGTCGTACCACTACAGCAGTAGTAGTAACTTGTAGCCGTTGTCGTTGTTAATGTGAGACACCGTACGGCACAGAACTAATTGCCTCCATTTTCCAGATCTCCAACGGCATATGGCGACGATGCACGGTTCTCGGCTTCTTCTGGTCACGACGGAGTGGGCGAGAGTGTCTTTAATTTCTTTTCTTTTTTTTTGCGCAAAGAGTGTCTTTAATTTCTGATTTTGTATATGAGTGTCTTTAATTGCAGAGTGACGGCTGACGGAAGGCCATGGCAACTGCAGATGAGACTCGGCCGCGCAATGAAGCTACTGTCATCAAAGGGCAAATGCAACGGCCATGGCCTTCCCTTCCTGATGCCACCATGCGTGAGCCGGTGTTGGGTGGTGCACCATGCACCGTGAACCAAACCTGCCGGTCCGGGCGCGTCCTCCTGTAACGGAAACCAGCACACGCAGGCTGCGCCCACCGGCCGTGCTGTGCAAGCAGGTCACGCGCATTCCCGCATTTGCATTCCATTCCATCCCTCCCCTTTTCTCTCTCCTCTATAAACCCAACCACGGGAAGGGAAGGGAACCAAGAGAGAGAAACACCCTTCGCCATAGCAGCAGCCAGCAGAGCAGAGCACCAAACCCCACACGCGCAAGAGCAGAGCAGAGCGCAGCCCTCTTTCCCCTCCACTCCCCTGCCCCCCTCCTCCTCCATTCCCCATCCTCATCCGCCGGCGATGGCGAGGCCGACGCGCGCGCTCCTGCTCCTGCTCCCGCTCCTCATGCTCCTGGCGCTGACGGCGACGCTGGCCCGCGCGTCGTCGGGCGACGTGCCGGCGGCGGCGACCCTGGGCTGGGACCTCGGCGTTGTGGGCGCGGGGGAGGACGAGGAGTTCGGCTTCCCCGGCGGCGACTCCGTGGCGCGCCGGGTGCTGCAGGGCGGCGGCTACGTCAGCTACGGCGCGCTGCGGAGGGACAACGTGCCCTGCTCCGTCCGGGGCGCCTCCTACTACAACTGCCGCCCCGGCGGGCAGGCCAACCCCTACTCCCGCGGCTGCTCCGCCATCACGCGCTGCCGCGGCTGATGATCTTGCCGCCGAGAGGAAGAGGAGGTTCATACCTATCCGTTATTCCCACGCTGTTGTTGATTGTTGAGACAGAAAAAAAAATCGTTCATCTCCCTCCCTGCCCCTTTTATCAATTACTATTAGTACCTGTATGTTATTTCTCTTGTCGTTTGATTTTAACAAGAAAGAATGATTGGTGGTGGTTGTGCTTATGATGGGTTGGCGCCCACGCGATTCCAGCCGGATTCGCCTCTCTCTCTCTCTCTCTCTCTCTCTCTCTCTCTCTCTCTCTCTCTCTCTCATGATTTATGAGCAACTTGTGTATAAACTACAAACTGATGGTTTCCCTGTGAACCAGTGTGATTGTTATTGTAATTAAGCTACCCACGGATCCGAGTCCCAACCACCAGCTCCATGATTTGATGTTTCTTTATTCGTAATTTTTCTCACAAGTAAACTGCTAGCGTAACGATTCTTTGCTTGGTCCGTTGCAAGTTGCAATTCTTCTAGACCTTGCCCAGTTGCACTTGCCCTGCTTGCGTGTCTGCCAATTTTGCTTTGGTGCCGGGCTGCTGCCGGCCATCAGCCATTCTACTAGAGTTGCACTTGCCCTGCTAGATCGTGCCTCGGAGGAAGCGAGGTCAACTAGAGTTTTTTTTTCTATTATCGAGGCATTTCGAAACGGGCAGAAGAATAGAAGAACAGTTCTTGGACCTAGTTCTTTTTTCCTTTCTTTCCTCTCGAGGTCAACAAGTTTTGTTGTTCAAGACTAGCATGAAATGAAATCCCAATGATTTTGCAAACATATCTTCCGATCATAACAACATTTAAAAAAAAGAATGATTCTAGTTGGGTCTATGATTTTGTTTGCACTGATATTTGCTTCTACTTCCTCTTATTATATATGATTTGTGTACTGTGTAGTGTACCTTGTGAGCCGTGACAAAACAATACCGGTAGCCAACCTAACCTTCTACCTCTACTCTAGTGATGAACTGGTGGGGGGTCGTTCTACAGCTGCCTCAGCTCATTTGAGCTAGCCTAGTACCTGCTTCTTGTATGGCAATTGGCAATGCACGGGATGGAGAATTATTGCGTGTTTATTGGCCACCGAACGACATCCGCGTAATGGAGAATATCACAAGGACAGGACGCGATTTGGGGTATCTTCGTTGATCCTTCGCTTCGTCGTCCTTGCTTCTCCTTCCTGCATCCTGCCATTGATTCACTCCCAGCCCCAGGCGCGCCACATGGGCGGTGGCGCATTCAATAGGATGAAAATCTCGGTGAGGATGAAATCAAAAACCCTGATTTCCCGTTCGTCACACATCATCCGCCGCAGCTGTGCCCTCCAGCAAGGCTACAGGGAGTACTGGATTTTGCTCTTCTCCCGAATATTTTATGCAAAAATATATATAGTGCTACTTGTTGTTCATGTGCCCATAGTAGAATATTCGATGACAGCTGGGATTAGCGACTAGATACTCAACCAATCCCACACCACACCAGCCGGCTGGCATGATTAGCAGCAGTCGTGACGAAATGGTCAGCGATAAACGCAGCCGGTGATAGTGCCGTTAGTTTGAGATAAAGAGAAGAATCCGCTTTCCTTCTCCGTGTTCAGTCAGGCACCAATTAGATAGTAGAATAGTGGATTATATTCACTGACAGCTGAGCACGGAGGGGTGAGGCTATTGGCCAGCAGGGAGCAAAGCAAAAGCGAGGGCAATGGAAAGCTCAGTCACCGACACCATGTCGCATGTACTATATGAGTAGGACCGTTGGGGCCCTGTCTCGTTTGGAAAAAAGGACTCCGCTGTCACAGATAAAGAGAAAGGGTTTCCTGCCCGGAGATTAGCAACTGATGCGGGCTCTGATTAGGATGGTCGGTCGTTAGCACAAACGGTTTTTACGATATGTGGCGTGTGCATTGTCACCATGAATGGATGGGCGTTGGCGACTGCAACTTGCGGACTTGGGGCATGCATAGCATAGTGGTGGTTGGGAACAAACTACCACTGCTACGGTTTACGTCCGTAGCACTCTTGGTTGCCGCACGGTTGGTCCCCCGTCGCTTTCGTGACCGCCCGCCGCGATCATCATCTCCTCCCTCTCGGCTTTTGCATGTGGGATAGGAATACATACGAATACGACTCTTCATGGGATGGTGGTTAGTTGCGGGCTTTATGGCTGTCTGCCATTCTCGTCTTCCAGGGGCGGCCTCTTTACAGTTTCAGTTTCAGCTCAGCAAGCACTCTCAGGCGCGGCGATGATGACACTCTCATCAGTTTCAGGCCCCTGACCCTGATCCACCGGCACGAAGCCATGGGTACATGTCGTCAGGTGCAAATCATGTCATGCCTCGTTCCTGACTGCAACGGCCAGCAAGGGACTCAGGAACCCAAAGGGCGTTCGATTTTAGATAAGCTCGGTCAATTCAGTTAAATGGTTTCCTTTCAGCTCATTGAGACAGTGAGATTGAGCCACATAATAAGTAGGAGTAGTATGTAAAATTGTCTAGGAAACAAGACAATGAGCAGCTTGTGCATTAATCGGTCTTGCTGCTTGGGTTCCTCTCTATAAGTAACTTGATCTCTGAAGTCTCATCAAGCAATCTGCCATTTCTTGTCACCCTGCACGGTTACTCAGACGTAGTCATCACAGTCATTGTTCTTAGAGGTTCCAAATTCAGAAACACGACGCAATAAATAAAAATCAGAAACACGACAACTCCTGTACTCCAACACATGAGTACTGCGTAGCTATGAGCACTAGCGGTTGCTTTGCTAACAAAGGGGCAGGCAACTGACCTCATTTCCAACCCATTTCTGTTTCGACTCTGCAGTCCAGCGATGGAGTTGGTGTCACGCAGTGGTGGGACACGTCGCCGCTGAACAGCCTCAGTGGACGGTGCCGGGCTGGGACCCGGGACGTGCTTTAGGTATCTCGTCGGGTGAGCTTAAATCATCGTCAGGTGGGCTTTAGGTACATTCCGGCAAGGCCCAACTCAGGATAGCGGACCGCTCCTAATTTCGTGCGTCTCACGGGGTGACAACTTTTGTGACAATTTCAATTATTCAAATCTACTACCTCAACAAATAAATAAATCATTTAAAAATTCGGTATGCTATCTTGAGGACGTCCGGACCAAGATGGCAACGGGTAAAATCCGCGCGGATACAAGGTCCAGGTATCCGTACCCATGAGCAAAAAACTAAGCCCGCGCCCGCTATCCGCCACAGGCAGAAAACCGCGCCCGTGCCCGCTCATCCGCGGATAGCGCATGCCCATAGGCATGCCCGTGTTCCCGCATAGCATTTATAGAACAGTAAGGCAAGAGACAAAAACCATCAGGCAACACATAAATACAACTCTCAATTCTAGTTTTTCACCACGTTAAACAACCATCAGGCAAGAGACAAAAACCATTAGATAAAGGTCTAACCAAGCAAATAAATAAGTCTTACACACATTAACAGTTTAACATAAATAAAGGTCTAACCAAGCAAATAAATAAGTCTTACACACGTTAAGCAGTACAAGTCATTATTCAACACCATTACATAAAAAGTTCAACCAATCTTAGTCGGAATCATCAGCAGTGATGCAAGATTCTAAAATCATCTCTTCTTGAATGTCTTGAAGGCATGACTAGAAGCTATCCATCCTTCCATCAGCATCATCTACAATAAAATTTCATATATTTTAGTAGCTACAGCAAATAGTTCTTATATGCAAATGAACAATCTATTACATTAGTAGTGTAGTACCTTTTAGAGTGTGATGAAGCCAACTTTGGCTACACATCAAAGCTTCCAACATTTTAGAGTAAGACGGCTACGATGCTCACTTAAAACCCTTCTACTAGTACTAAAAGCTGATTCAGAGGCTACGGTTGTGATTGGAATAGCCAAGATGTCACGAGCAATTTGCCTCAAAGTAGGATAACGAGTTCCCTCCAACTTCCACCAACCAAGGACATCAAAATAGTCATTCTCGTGATAAGGAAGGGTTTCTTCATCCAAATAACGATCTAGCTCATTCTTACTTCTAACAAAGCTAGTAGTCTTCTTATTTGCTAAAAGGGTTTTAAAAATAGACAACACAGTAGCTGCACCAACTCAAGAAGAAGCACCACTAGATGATATACCCACAAAAGTCTTGCTCTTTGACATGATAGTGTTTCATCAAATCAGTTAACAATTGATGGGCCTCTGTAACATAAGACCCAACATGTTCTTCACCAAAAAGGGCAACATAGCAAGCATGTAACATCGTCATCTTAAGACGTGGATCAAGAATGACAGCAAGAGCCATAAGACCATGTATATCAGTCCAATACTTGTCATACTTTTCTATCATGGCAGTAGACATGTCCCTAATAGTATCATGTTCATCATGCTCCCAAGATTTGAGTTTAAGTTTAAGCTCATATACTTTAGGGAAGAAAAGGTTGGCTGTCACATATTTAGTTCCAGAAAACAGCTCAGTAAGGTCATAGAATAATCCTAATTTCTCACAAACACTACAAGAAATTCTTCTTTTTATGACAAAATCCCTCGCGACGAGGCATGTTTTCGTCATATAATGTAACATAATATGACGAAAAGTTATACGTCGTCATAAAATTATGAGACCCAAAAGTATTTATGACGACATCGTTTCTTGTGTCACATAAAGGTAGCAAGTTTCGTAACAAATTGTCAAGCGGCAGGAGTCGGTTGACAGTTGTGAATTTTTGATGATTTAGACAGTTTTTATATGACGACAGTAGACCGTCACTGAATGTTTTATCAAATATGACGACCCCCCAATGTCATAAAATACCCCAGTACGAGGTGGAGCCTTGACCCATGACAGTTGGGCTCGGAGCTTGGCCTAGGCCCATGTAAAAATGTAGAGGGGGCCCAGGTGGAAGGAGGCAGGCCGAGCCTAAAATAGAAGGCCCGAGAGATGTCTTTTTCTTTTTCTTTCTTTCTTTTTAATTTATAAATCACTTGTTCATCGTGAATAAGAAC